TGAGAATTCCTCTCATCACTGCTTTGTACACGTCCCATACCACCTGTATGGGAGTTTCTGGTTTCAAATTGTGCTGAAAGAAAATTTTTGTTTCCTCCTTTATTAAATCCACAATGTTTTTCTTATCCAACAAATCTTCATTTATTTTCCATAAGAATTGTTTGTTTTTCTCTTTCATAGTCCACAACAGGGGGTTATGGTCTGAGTTGCATTGTGGCAGAATCTCAATTTTATGTGTTTTCAAAGCTATTTCTCCCGACATCCATATCATGTCAATCCTGGAAAAAGAACTGTGTCTATTGGAATAAAAAGTAAAATCTTTTACAGTTGGGTTCCATTTTCTCCAAACATCTTCCAATCTCTCCTGTTCCACTAATTTAAAAAAGTTGCTTGGGAATTTACCACTATTCTCGTCTCCCCTTGTCGATTGTCCATTTTATTGTTGACCGTGCCATTAAAATCTCCAGCCAACATTATCTGTTCATAGCTCTGTTGTTGTAGTTGTTCTGTCAAATCCTTGAAAAACTTTTCTTTCGCACCATTCGGTGCATATATATTCACAATCAGAGTCTTCTTTTGCTGCATTACAACTTCCACTCCCACATATCTTCCTTCAGAATCTGTAAAAATTTCTTTTGGTTGCAGTTCTTTCTTTGCAGTGGGAAGGCGAGACTTGAAGACGGTGATCGTGTTTCAGCCGGAATAAACTGCACCGGTTCCAACCGGTACAGTTTCTGCGGGCTGAAACGCCGTGTCTGAACGCACCCCTAAGTGTGTTAAAGCAGTCATTGTAGGAGTTACAAGAAACATAGACGAGTGTGGCAAGATCCCTCTTCTCCAAAAAGAAACACAGTCTCTGTAACAGATGAATTTTCTAAAAAGTGCTCCTGACTACCAACAACATGTGTCTCTCCTGGAGCAAAATGGAGAGAAGCCAGACCAGGCAGGTAGTTTTCTATCTCTTCTATCACACCATTCCATGTTGCCTGCTGTCATTATCTCTGTCTTGTCTGGATTCAGTATCAGGCTTTTTAACTTCATCTTCTCAACCAGAACCTCCATACAGGGAAGGTACCTGCTTGTTCTTTTTGTCGTGTTTTTATCCCACCTGTTCTCCAAGGACCTCTGGGCAGTGCACATGGTTCTCCTGTGCTCCATTTTATTCTCACAGCCAGAGATGTAAAATTTCCCCAAAAATTAACCCATGGGAAACCAGAAATTTTCAGAAAAATTTAAATATATTCATTACCTCTGTTCCTAAAACAGCTTTGCCGCTTTAACAATAGAAAATGCATCATTCATCATAACTTAGTATGTAAAGTTGTATTAATTAGCATATTTATCAAATTTAAAAGTATAAATGCGTTTGTTTTTACAAGTAAAATTGCAAATATACCCAATATTAAAACATGAGAGAGTTGCAAAATACTGCACCCTAGGGTGTCTTAGCACATTTCACTCATTCCACAAGCAAAATCTATTTCATAGGAGTTTTTCGGCTCACCTCCAAATTTTTCCAGCAGAAAAACATCTGAGAACTTTCCCCAAAATGTTTCCATGGAAAAATCATGGGGAAATTCCTCAGAGGTTTTCATTTTAGCATTCTACTCATTACAACGAAAATATCGGAGAAGTTATTTCCAGGGCTCCCCCAAAGATCACTGTTCCCATGATAAAAAGTTAATAGATTTCAATCTGTAATAGCTGTCTGGAGTCAGTAGTAAAGTAGCTAAGATGGCAGATGTATTCTAGATATTTTTTTCTAGATACTTTCTAGATAGATATTTCTAGATAACAAAATCCAAAGGAGCTTCATGCATATATTTTCCAACTTCCTCTGTCCTCTCATGTATGTGCTGAACCTATGCCTACAAATCATAGACCCATTTTCTTTTACAAACAAAACCTTCTTGGTAAGGAAAGTGTTCTATGGCCCCGTTCACACGGGCAGGAAACTGCGGGGGAGAAGCGTGGCTGTTTGCCCTGGGGCAAACTACTGCGCAGTTACGCGATCAGACCTCCTGTGGAGGTACCGTGGAGGTTCCATGGCAAGGGAGAGGCGACGACCACAGGACAAGCCGGCGTGCAACGAAGAAGCGTGTGCCGCGGCAAACTGTTTTGTTTTTGTGTGTACATGACAAATGCGCATGCTCCGTTGGGTGCGCGTGCGCATCCACAGAGACTTGGACAAAAAAAACACACCGGGGACATGGGCGGGCGCCGGATGCCACCGGAAGCGCGATCAGACGCCCGCCTTTGCCCCACAGTTTCCGGAAACTAGTACCTCTGAGGTACTAGTTTTTTGCCACGCAGTTTCGGCTGGAAGCCTCGGTTGAGCCACGGGAGTGCTACGCTTCCCAGATGTGCTGGTGAGATCGCGCCTGGAAACTCCGCCTGTTTTCCGTCTCACTTGTGTGGCTTCTGTTCCGTGTGACCGCAGCCTATCTAGAGTTGTTCTGTTGTTAGTTTCAAGATTCATCACACAGGCTTTAGTATATCTTATGTGGGCGATCACATAATCTGCACAGTGAGACCACCGGGGACTACGGTAGATAGTTCTGCAAAGCTGGGAAACCCCCAATGCTTGCAGAAGAATACAAAATCTGGGATTTAAAAAAATGCCAGCGATATCTTTGAATATGCAATCAGACAGGTAGCCATGTTGGTTTGAAACAGTAGAACAAAGTTTGAGTCCAGTGGCGCCTTTAAGACTAACAAAGTTTTATTCAAGGTAGAAGCTTTTGTGTGCACATGGAAGCTTATACTTTGAATATGCAAACAGTGCAAAAAGGAACCACAGAGTTCTTTGAGATTGGCCACGAGGAAGAAGATGTGGGGTGGAGAGGTGGGAGACAATGGTATGAGGGGGCATTAAGAATTGAGATATGGCACCCTGACCTGGAGAGCCCAGGGAAGCCCAGTCTCGTCAGATCTCGGAAACTAAGCAGGGTCGACTCTGGCAAGTACTACATAGTGTTCTTATGCAGCAGGGGTATCCTGCCTCCTTAGCCTTAATGAGTGAAGTACAGAAAGAGAAGAACATAGTCTTCGTCTTCTCCGTACCAGGAAGCATCAGAGTTTCTGTACCATACCAATCCATGTTCTTTACTGGCTTCATACCCCTGTCTTCTAATGGTGGCAGAACTAGATTCTTCAAAAACATCTTCAAAAAGCAGAGCAGATAGATGATATTTGTCTTCTAGTAAAAAAAAAAAAATTAGGGACCTCCTGAGGTTTACAGTTTATTGGCATGAAGTTCACATGCAAGTTTTTGCCATTAAAGTGGTTTTTTGCCATTAAAGTGCTGCATTAGCTGACTTGCTCTTGATTTTAGCACATTATGCAGTGTACTTATTGCTTATGGAGTTTTACATTTGTGTCTTCACTGGTCCTGGTTGAAAGTCTGGTGATTCCTTGCTAGTTATCACTTTTATTCAAAACTTTTTTTTTACCATTTGACGAGGTTTGTGTCTGTTTAGTGATGTTTGTTCTTCCATTTTGGCCTCAAATCATTCTATGGTTGCCTTTCTGATTTTACAAAGCAGCCAAAAAACTTCAGCCCTTAGACCAGGAAGACCTCTATGTTTCATCTCCTATTAATTTCCTAATTAATAGGAAACAGAGAGTGAGTATAAATGGGCAATTTTCTCAGTGGAGGGTGGTAAGCAGTGGGGTACCACAGGGATCAGTACTC